AATTTCTACTATTCAAGCACTTTCCTCTATCATCAAAAACTGCCAAGGTCTCCTCTATAATTAAACATTCCATACCACTTTAATTCCTCAAGTCTCACTCTCTTTCCTACTCATTCTCTCTCTCTCTCTCTCTCTCTCTCTCTCTCTCTCTCTCTCTCTCCCGAGAATTGAACCCAAGGGTATTTAGTGCTGAGCAACATCCCCAGCCCTTTTTATTCTTTTGTTTTGAGACAAGGTCTTCTAAGCTGCTGAATCTGGGTTGGAACTTAAAATCCTATTGACTCAGCCTCTCACAAATAAAAGTATATTAAACATTGTTATGGTTTGTATATGTGGTGTCTCCCAAAACCTCAAGTGTGAGACAATGCAAAAATGTGAAATGATGAAATGATTAGATTTTTAAAGTTGTAACCTAACCAGTGGATTAATCCACTGGTACAAATTAATTGGGTGGTAACTGTGGATAGGTACAATGTAAATAGAAAAGGTAGGTCCCTTGGGGCATGACTTTTGGGTTATTTTGTCCATGGTGAGACAAGCTCTCTGATTCCTGGTTGTCATGTCCTGAGCTGCTTTCCTCTGCTGTGCCCTTCTGTAATAATTCTGCCTCACCTCAGGCCCACAGCTATGAAGTTCATCAACCATGGTCTGAACCTCTGAAACTGTGAACCAGAATAAACTTTTCTTCCTTCCCATTGTTCTTGTCAGGTCTGTTGGTCACAGTGATAAAAAAGCAGACTAAAACAAACATTTATTAATATATATCATTAATTCGTTACCATTGAACTTACAGCCAATAGTGCTGTACATGAAGGAAGAAGCTTACCTAACACGTGGATTGTTTTCTGTAAGGCATATCCCAGTTTTCTTGTGCTTAGGAACATTAGACTGCACTTACGCACTATGCTTAGGGTCATTTTAAACAATGAATTTACCCACAAAAAGCCCAAAAATTCAAGAACTCTGGCACTAAATAGACTAGGAAAGGGGCACTTATTTACAGTATGGGAGCAGAAACTAGAAGGCAGCGGTAGCCTCTTCCATTTCAGGGGGGAGCACTGTGTGAGGCACAGCTCCTGTTTTCAGGGATCCACAAATGACTGTGAAGGAGCCAGATTATACAAATAAATCTTATCAATGAGTAAATCCATATTTACCAAATTCACAAATAAGGAACAGTGTCTACACTTGTAGAACTAATATCTGGTTGTTATCATCTTACAATAAACACCTGTAAGTTATGATTATTATTGTCCTTAACTATTATGATTCTGAGCTATGCAAGGCAGAGAAATTCTATGAAAAACACATAAAGTTTAATACACATATCTGATTAATACACATACCTGTATGGGTTTTCTTTGTATATAAAGGCAGCTTAGGGTGTTTGGGAGGTAAAGGTCTTCGAAGAAGTTGTGGGTATTGTTGCATTTTACTGATTAATAAACTCTGTTTTTTCATAACTATTGGTTAAGGGAGAATTAAAAAGTTTTTAAGCATGTTGCTGAAAAGCAATTTATTAGAATTTAATTACATCTTAAGGAAACTCACTCTGTGATAATAGTATACTGAATCCAATCAGAATTTCTTTATAAGAAAATGAGATTAAGAAAATAATTTTTTAAAACTTGTACTTTAAAAATTTAGATTTATAATTAATTAATGCACAATATAAAAATACACATACAATTGTTAATCAATATCAACCTGAAATTTCCCAAGTTAGGGCAAAATTCAATCTACCAATACTCTTTCATCCAGTAAATGATTTTTCAGAACTGTAGAAATGACTTTTATTTCACTACAAAATGTTATCACTATATGTGGAAGATCCTTTCAATATACAAACCTCTGAAGACCCATCACATCTAACTATTGACAAATTCATTGTTTTCTTTCTCTAACAATGGCTTGTTTAAATTCGATCACTACAGTTGGGTCATAACCATGTAATCCAAAAATAACATGGGCTTTCCCAGGATTGCTGGTAAACCCAATTAGTACTCTTTGGAAATGATGGGAGAAGATTCACACCCCCTCCTACCCCGCAAATGTGTGTTTAGTTTGCAGGGCAATATCTAGAAGACCTGGCACGCCACTATTTCGTTGACAGCCTAGAAGGGAACCTGCAGCTGCGCAATTGAGCTGTTCACCCATAAAAGATAATTCTGCACACAAGCGCTCAAGGTTTGCTCCCTGGCGGTATGCCCTACTTGATGCTGGAAAACTTCCCTGGTAGTATCCTAAGAGATTACGGGAAGAGTTGAACTCCAACACCACTCATCTGGTTCTCAAATCAACCGACTTTTGGGCTTCCGTCTCTTTTTCTTGGGTCTCTAGCCAGTCAGGTAAAAGTATAGTGAGGTCGCCCGTCTTCCCGTAGGATGCTGTTCCCATCCAGCAAGATGTGTCCAGAGGCCACCCAAACCGACCACTCAGCAACTAGCGGCCACCTGAGACGGGTAGAGCCCAGCCCGCCCCGCCCGATGGATGCGCAGGCGCTGGAGGGCAGGGCGGGCAGGAGTGGTGACTGGGCAGGGCGGAGAGCGGGCGGGGCGATCGCGACGCCCGCAGAGCCCCGCGGAGGCGGCCCCGCCCATGGCGCAGCGCGCGGTGCCCCCTGGCGCCACTCGGGTGCGGTGTGGGATAGCTGGGGAGGCAGCGGGCGGTTGGGCAAGAGGAGAAGCCACTCCACGTGCAGCTGCTGTACGGAACGCCGTGGTGACAATTGTTATTACTTTTCTTATTCTTAATGACAATGACTTACTTTTCTCTGACACGAAGCTTAACTTGGGTGTCTAGAGTCTCGGCTTGTATTCTTTAATGATGCGCTTTTGCGCAGCGGGGTCTCTCTCCTTGCTTATTTGGCAGTGCCCCTGAAAAGCAAACATTCTGCTTTCCTCTGATGCAACCCGTTTTGTCGTTCTGATCCTTTAAACTTCCTGGTTGAGGAGGAGCTGTGTAGGAATAGGAGCATTAGGGAGGAATTCGGGCGGGCTTTAAAAAAGAGACCCTTTTCTGTCTCAGTCGTTCGTTCTGATTATTGTAACTTGTCTCTTATTCAGTCATGGTGTTGATGAACCTGTATGTGCAGCGGTAGATGCATCGTGTGTTTGCATGTTGTTTCTCTGGAGCTTTGAGGGAGAAAGCACCAGAAAGAAATCACTATGTAGATGGGGAAATCACAGCTCAGAAAGTGAAGTAGATGGAGTTTCCTTCCAGGTTGATTGTTAGGTACAAGGGCAGGAACCTTAGTAATGGATTTTGGAAAATGAGACACTTTCATATAAGCTTTGGGACTCTTTCAAGATTTTTTCCCTAATCAAATCTTCCTTAGTCTCTTTAGGAGTAAGCCTATATTTTAACCCAATGAAAAAAGTAGAAACTGACTCTGGGAAACATTATGCAAATTATTTCCTTTAGAGTCTTAGCATGTGATTTCTTTTCCTTATAAAATTACTTTGTCCCAGATTAGATGACCAGACCATGAATTTATGCCATTTCTGCCTGTGTCTACGTCATAGATTTATGAACTTCTCAGAAAGACAAGAAAGCAGAGAGCAAAAGGTAGATCTACTGGCAAGGCTTTGCCTGTAGTAGTAGTATAGGTTGTACATATTTGCAAATATGGAAAAAATGTTTCTATCATTCTTAAGCATAAAAAATATATGTATGCCACTATATAAATTGAGTCAAGTTCCTATACTCTGAAAAGTGGTTTGAACCATGAGAACTATTAGATTTCAGTTTGACTTACAGATGCCTGACCTTTAGAAATTGGTGCTTAGTTTTGCATAGTCAAAATCAAGGCAATGCATTTTTAAATATATTTTTAAAAATGCTTTGTCACATATAGACCCAGCAGGCATCAGGCTACATTCCTTGCAGATTTATTTCAGCAGATTTTCTTCTAGCAAGTACCAGGCCAGAACCTAGGGCTGTTTAATATGTAACTTTCTCAGTGTGGACAGTTTTGTTATCTTCTGTTAGTATCACCTAGTGCCAAACCTTTAGACAAATAATATAATTACTATGAAAACTAAATCCATTGCTTAGTATGTTTAATGTGTATACATAGTTATTTTAACTCATTTTATATGATTTACCCATGGAATTGATATAAAATTGTAGGATGGGTTTTGAAAAAACAAATCACACTCAATTTTGACCACTTTACTATTTTTAGATTTACTATTTTTCTTTCTTTTTAAAAAATAATTATTATATGGCTCATTGAAATCAGGCAGCTCCCTGTTTGGTTTTAAGGTTTACTTTATCTGATGTACAGAACCATGTTCCTGTTTATTTGTCTCATCAGCTTTGCAGTTTGGCAGAACCAGGGAAAGAAGCTTGTCAAACAAAAACCACAATGCTTTCGCTCAATTAGCAAATTGTATCAAGGTGCTCAGGATAATGGTGAGCACCAAGGTTATAGACATCCTGAATCTTTTTAAAACATGTTGTTAAATTGAGATAAAAGCAAAAGAGCAGTCCTAGGTACTGGTAGATAATGCTACTTATTTCCCCAATGAGTGGGACAGGTTGGGGTTGGGAGTGGGGGAACCTTAGATTTGCTCTTGGCGAAAGGACACAGTACTGTTGGAATGAAGTTAAAAACAAAAAAGTGTTACTAGAAATCTTAACTATTTTCCATAGATTTCTCTCCTGTTATTTTCCTTTTAAACAGAACAGAATTTGCTGAACAATTGTGTCAGTGTCGATTTAACCTATTTTATCATATGGAAATAAAGTAGTAACTTGTGGTTTTATGTTCATATTAGTTTGTTAGTTTGTTTTGTATTTGGTAACAGGAACACTTAACTACTGAGCCACAACTCCAGCCCTATTTTGTTTTTTATTTAGAGTCAGAGTCTCACTGAGTTGCTTAGGGCCTCACTAAGTTGCTGAGGCTGGCTTTGAACTCACGATTCTCCTACCTTAAACTCCTGAGCCGCTGGGATTACAGGCATGTAACCATGCCCTGCTCATATTAGTTTTTGAATTTCCTCTAAAGAATGAAGAGGTTTTTTTGAGTACATGTGAATTCAATATTGATTCCCCAGGATAACCCAGGACACCAAAGTGCTTTTGAAAAAGAGGTGTTTTCTTGGTCTGTTTATCTGTTTATACTAATTATATATACTATGAAACATATTTACTCTTCATAGTTTACAGTGTCTTAAACACATTCATTTATGCCAAGTGTTTTCATGCTCTTGCCTAGAGGATAGTTTTATATTTTCTCCAATATTAATAAAGATATTTAGAAGACTCTACTCTTCCTTTTACCCTTCATATTTCACTGCAAAGAACAAAACTTCATTTCTGTTCATTATTTTGGCCAGTTATACCTTTGGCTTTTTCAAGATGATAGCTATTTCATTTCCTTTGTTTGAACTAGAAATCCTGGAATTTCTTTGTAAAAAAAAACATTATCAAAAAGGAAATGACATTCAGTCTGCATTATGGAATTAATATAAAAATATCCTGCACATAATGAAAGGACAATGTCTGATTTTAGAAGCACAGTAATGAATTCAGTCATTCATTCTAGATTAATATATTGGACACCTAATATGTATAAAACATTTGGCTATACATATACAAGGCTAGGTGCTGAACTTTAAACTTTATTAAAGCAATTTATAATGAATCATTTGACTCTTTATAATTTTAAACACTAAAATGAAAATTTTAAAATCATTTCCAAGGTTTCATTATTTATAATTATAGCTACTTGAATTTTTATATTTTTAACAATTTGTTTTGATGTTGCTTAGGTAGAATAGTGTTATTTATATATATTTTATAAATAGCACTATCTAAATTGCTCAAAAACAATTTGCATTTTCTTAGCTGTAGCAGTCATTATAGACTACTTGTCTGCAACCAGCTGATGTTAGGTATTTGTGTATATTATATGATTGTGTCCATCAACAATAGCAACAGAAAGACAGTTAATATTTGTTTCCTTGTTAGTTTGACTAAGTAAACTGTCCTCATGCTGTGGGTTATGACATGATCTTAAACATGAGCAATGTTTGTTCCTATATGGAAGGCACTCTGCTAATTATTGACTTTAGGGCCTCACTAAGTTGCTGAGGCTGGCTTTGAACTCACGATTCTCCTGCCTTAAACTTATGCCCAGTTATCACTTTAATTGAGAATTCTAATTTTTGCATCACATTTCAATCAAAAGCAGCATAACATATCTCTACTTGTCTGTTCAAATCCTCCTGCTGCCACCTGTTAGCTCTGTGCCCTTGGGCCATCTGCCCAACCTCTTTAAGCCCCCGTGGTTTCCTCACTTGTGCAATTGGAAGGAAATGGTACCCAACCCAAGGCCTTTGAGAATTTAAAGAGATAATCAGTGTCCAGAGTTTAGTGAGGGAGTGCTCAGTACGTGTTAGAAACTAATAAAAATTATTTAGTTAGGCAAACAGCCCAGGTTTCTGTCTCCATGCCCCTGCTTTATGTGATAATAGTTCATATTCACAGAAATATCTGGAGGACTAGAGGATAAATCCTGGGCATTTTTCCATCAAGTTTCACACTTAGTTTGCTGATGTCTCTGAAAGTTAGAGGACCTAGTTTATAGCACTCAGTGACACACAGTCTGTGCCCTAGGAAGTGGCCTACATTTGGTTACTGGTCCTTGGTCCTTGATACTCTGAGCCACAGAGGAATAGTGGGACAAGCTGGTGCCTGAAAGAGTCCAAGTACAGTGACGTATCCAGGAAGCCTTGACCTGTCCCTCACGTGAGTGGAGTATTGTAGCAGCATTGATCCAGCTGGACTGAATCCATGATGAATTTTAGCCAGTCAACCTGAGGATGAAAGCCACTTTGTTCTCAGCCTCCTGGGCGCGATGGTGAGCTTTACAAAGGTGGAAAGGCAGAAGGGCTGCCATGTGAAACTCCTTTGAACAGCCAGAGAAAAGGTGTTACAGAAGCACAGAACCTTCCTAGGGTTTCTCAGATGGGCACACCAAGCTTTGGGAGCTGAGTATATTTGAGGTCTTGGGCTCTGCTGGGAGTTTGTCCTAAACTTACAAAGGAAGATGTAACATTCCATAAGGTGACTGAGCTGCGTGGCCTCCGTTGAGCCCTCAACAAATACCTGTAGCATTTAGAAATGCTTTGTAATGGCTTACTCTTCCTTATAATGTCAATAGCAATTTATGACCTTAAACAGCAGACACAGTGATTTATTTTTCAAACCTGTCATTCTGTTTTACACTCACTGTCCTGATTGAGCATATGTTTTATTCATAAGTGTAGTGAAGCTACAGATTTTAAAGGGCTAATGGTGGGAATGAACAGGGATTACCTGGACATGTAGTGATGCACTGAATTCTCCAATTATATATAAGTATAAATAAATAAGAACTTGCATTTCTTATACCATAGCTGGACAGCTGGAACTGCAGCGTGTGTTTCAGCACCATGTGGTTTGATATGCTTTGACCATTCTGCTACGTTTCCACTTTCATAATGTGTTTTGATGTCAGAAATTTTTATCAGGGTTGACATTAACAATAGTTCCAGGACACTGCTTCTCTCCTCACCCT